AATCAAAATGCGAGAATAACTTGGGTTATTATATAATCTGTGATAGATAGTGAGTAGCGTAGCAGTGTGCCCTTGTTAACAAAATGGCGGCCTCTTCTTGGCATTTTCGAAGTGTCTGTGAAGAGGATTTAGACAAAGTTTTGAACCACTAGTAGATTTATACCAAAACAATTAGATTATTCACTCTCGATTTCTATGCGTGATAGTTGACTCGGGCTGCGCCCTCATCAAACCAAATCAAATCAAAACTTCATTTATCGAGGGTGACAAGTAATAGTTTATCAGCTAATAAATTTGTGGCCCTCTTAAATGTGCTAAAAGTTAAAAATCAACTATAAACAATAATCAAAGATTATCACTAAAATGTCGCAATCTAAAAATTATTATTTAAAAAAGGAGTAAAAATTTTATTCTGGAGCTGACTTAACCTCATCAACTATATCATTCGATAGAAATCTTCAGCTCATAATCTAATTGTTTAATAGTGTTTACATTAAGTCTATCCCCTCCCTCATAAACTCAAATCTATTCAACGCTGGTGCTTAGGCAGCGTTTGAAATGTTGGCCATGTGAGAAACTAGGACTCTAAAAATGTCATTAAACAGAGGTTCTAATGACTCCACATAATTATTATCTGACTTCTAATTTGTTAATAACAACAACAATAACAATGCTTTATTTACTCTTGACACTTAATACACATTTGCGAAGAAAATTACAATAACTTAGGGAAAATATATGTGTTTAAAGTCGAGCTAGGGGGATAAATGAATCTTGCAGTTTTCGAGTTACTCCCCTACTTTTACGTGTATGGGTTTCCTGTGAATGCAACAAGATGGCGCGCTAGTGCCGCGAACTGATTATATTTTCATTCTTCATATGAATTCCCCCTGTGTTTCGTTGAAATGGAACCCCTGGCTCAGTTGGATGTGATAGATGTTTTTGCAGTTATCAGCGGCTTGACACACAGACGAGGCGAAAGGGTCAATTCTGTATTGTATTGACCCTTTCGCCTCGTTTGCATGCCTTTTGAAACAAAAGAATTTTTGACCGCAGACTCAACTGCAATAAAAGCTATTAATAGAGGTTGGCCGGGAATCAGTGAGGAAAACTAATGGATGCCTAGGAATGTTTACTTCTTTGAAGAGCAGCCGCTAATAAAAGCAAAAATTTCTCTCGCAATCGGCAGTGAAAAAAAGTTAAATCTTGTGCTGTTTTTGTGCCTCTGGTACATCATTTTTACCGAGCAATTAAAATGATAAGACCATCCCCCCCCAAAGAAAGGCAAAACAGCGAACAAACAAAACAGAAAAATAGAAAAATTTCTGACCATTTCTCATATACTTTTTAACCGTAGAAGTCTACGGTAACGTCTTGAACAGTGCTGATTTGGTCGAATAAGGCACCATGCAATGCTTTAGGAAAGTATCACGGTTCTTTACTGGAAAACGTTTCAAGGACAGTTCGTGGTCATGGATCGTGTGTGTTTCAGCAGCGGTTTGTAATTCTGTTTATCTTGGTATGGTACTTAGCTTTGGTGTTCTGTTCCCGGTTTTAATGGAATACTTTGACGAGACCAGAGAGAGAACAGGTTAGCGAACTTAGCTTGACAAGCGCGCATTCTGTACAACCCGTCAGTCCAACTGGTTCGAATATAGGCCAGCGAGGACAGACTAGATTTTAGGCTACAATCAGTTAAATTTACTCAAAAATAACGGTGTTTTGCTTTGCTCTTCGTAAATCGCTTTTTTGCCTTCCTATGGTTTCTCTGATGATACACCTGCAATGATTTCCCGAAGTTGAAAAATACGGACTACCATCTTCAAAACTTGACATCATTGCGTTAAATCGCAATTTTACGTTATCGAATTTTCGCAATACAGCCTGGATGAATATCAACTGCGTTTAACTAAAACTTGCAGTCTTCAATGCTGTTCCATTATCATCATCACTGCTTTTTATCACTTTTTACTGGCATTGGCAAATGTTTTACAAAGATATATCTTGACACTCCTTTGTAGACAACTTCAGCTCTGTTGTTTGCCGCAGACAACTCAGTCAGTGCTAATTCTTTATTATTTTGCATTTTGATTAGTCAATTTGGAAGTCTGGAAGGAATATATTTTACCATCACCAACAAGTTCTTAGCGTGGAAGGATAAGATAAAGATTTTAGATTTCGCAATATAGCACTGCGCTTAAGTTGACTTATACAATCTTAATACGACCTATTACAGCAAGTAGATTGTGAAATTTTTGTCCGTTCTGCTTGTTTTTTGTTATTAATTCATGGCATGTATTATATATATTCCTTAGGGAATTGAACTGTATTCATGGCAACAAAAAAGAGAGGCAATTAAAGATTACTGCCGAAATATGATAATTTTTAAGTCCAACAACATATGTTAATATACATACAAAACAAAGTTTTAAAATTAATTTCAAGTCATTTTGTAAGTAATAGAAAACGATCTGGGCTCCAGTGCAAAACTACAGACAGACTTTTCACACTCTCTCAACAAACTGAAGTTGAAATCGGCATTTAGAATATTTTATAATATTTGTGCCTTGTGTAAACGCGAGTGCCAAGTTCGAAGCTCACACTTCTTGTGTTTTGTTGAAAGTGTACGCAAAGCTGTTTTAACGTTTTCACGCTTTTGTCTGCCAAACGCCGAAGCCAAAGAGCTTCGAAGTAAAATGTATACCTACTTTCAAACTAGCATATGAAAAAACGTAAAAACTAGAAGTCAAGATGGAGCATTAAAAAGTTTCATAAGGGCAATAATTTTCTCTGTTAGCAACGATATCCGCTAACATCATTGTTACTTCTATTCGCGAGATTGAGTTTTCGCGCAATTGCGAAATAATTGCGAAAGAGGTTATCGCAAAAATTCATGACGGACCTATAACGCAAAACCCTGCTGTATAACCCTCTTATTAGCCTCTTTTTCCCCCAAATAATACAGCAGAGAGAAGAAACAAGCCGAACTGAATACTAAACGTTGTTCTTTGTCCAATTCATCGCAAACTAAGGCGTCGTCCACACTACGCTGGAGGAATTTGAAAGGCAGCTTTATTTGTAAGGTGTAAAGTTAGGCCTACCGTCCACACTAATCCGTCACGAAAACGGAGTTTTTCGAAAGCGCTTTTCAAACCGGAGGAATTTGAAAACAGCGGCCTTTCGTTTTCGTGTGGACGGTAAATGTTTTGAAAACAGAGCTCTTCCAAAACAAAGGCGTCACGATAACCAAGTAATTTCCCTGCCCGAGTTTTCCTCAAACGCAAATCCAAAATGACTGGTAATTTTTGCGTTTTTTAAATTCAAACCTCCGTCGTAGTGTGAACGGACCCTGGCATCTCAACATACCTGTTCTTACTTTTGTTTTACTTTGTTTTGCTGTGTGTTCTTTTTTGTTTTGCTATGGTTCTGTCGGTTCTTTTATTGGGA